AATCAAAAGGCCTACTGGCCTCCTATTATTGCTGAATGTAAGGCTGTTGCTATGGCTCTTGTTATACTAATAAGCAATAAAACAGAATTAACTTATCTCTTGATGCGTGAACCAAACTAACAATAGCCGCGTCGTGGAGAACCACTGACCTAAAAGACGATTATGCGCTGCCTCCCGGTGCAGTAGACAGATGCGGTCGCCCTCCAGGATAAGCACGGCGCCGGAGTTTATCTGCACTCACAAACCCGACTGGAACTCAGAATACTTGCCCAGAAAACAGAACAGAAGAAACTCGTGTTTAGATAATTTTAGAGAAGAGAGAAGACTGATTGTGTTGTGTGTTTACTAAATTAATTCCGTAATCCCAACAGTTAGAAAAGAATAATCCCAACAGACAAAAAGGAATATTCTGTTTAACAACGAAAGGGAAATAAAATTTCTCCAAAAAAATAACAAGGACCCACGCCCGCACATTGCATTCCCCGAGGCCCGAGGCCCGACCCGGCTCGGCACGCGCGCGCATGTGTGTGGAGTAACGCACACCTCCAACTCACTCAACTAAGTAGTGATAAAGCACTACAATATAAAAACAAGGAAACACCTCACTCCCTAATCAATGTGGGACTTTTTCTCTCTCACTTTGTTTTTCTATCAAGAACTTCCAACAATTCTAAGGTTGGCTAAGCGCTACAACATCTCTCGCATTATTCTGGAATCAGATTGCCAAGTGCTAGTTGACAGACTCTGCAAGGGAACCATCTACTTCTCTGACTTAGATTTCTTGTTGGAGGATCTTTTTTTCTTTAGCTCTAATTTCGATTCTATCTCTTGGTGTCATGTAAAGCGGGAGGGTAACACTGTTGCTCATAACTTAGCCTGCATTGTGCCTTTTGGTGTAGAACAGATTTGGGACCATAGTCCTTGTGAGGTTGCTCCATAAATTTTGATAGACAAATTAATAATATAAGGCACCATCCGATTTTCCTCAAAAAATAAAATTAAAATCAAAGCATTCATTTAATTCTAAAGCATTCGATAATACACACGTATAACTGAAATTAACAAAAGTACATAGTGTACACAAGTACACAACATAGAATTTACCAGTACTCGTACTAAATTTATTAAACAACAGACCTATATAAGATCAAGATAATACTTCTGAATAGGAAAAAGGGCAACATATTTACTGTATAGGAAAAATTAAATTTAAGGTTAAGAAACTTACATGTCTTTCGAGTTGATATCGGGTTGGATCAGTGGCGGATCCAGGAATTTGAAGTAGGGGTAGCACTAGAAATTACCAAATAAAAAAATTCCTAAAAACTTGAGCCTCAAACTATTTTTAAGCTAATTATAACACGTGTAGTTAGCTAGCATAAATCAAATTAATTTTTTTAACGCAATGTATTGTGTTATCATTCAAAAGTAACTACAAAATCTAAACAAGGATTAATTTCCCAGGCCCATGAGGTTTTTACGAATAAATTATATACTCCATACTAGTTACAAAGTATCGAATACTCAATATGACAATCAAATCAATAAATAAATAAATAAATAATAGTCAAAGTAATATAGAGTAAATAGTAATATTTATCAAAATACTCATGTTAATTATGAAATATTGGAAGTCATTTTAATATATATACGTAAATGTCAAGAATGGAAGGGAAAAAAAGCACCGATAATTTAAAAAATAAAACAAAGATATGTACGTAAATGTCAAGAAGCTAAGGCAGGAAAGGGAAAAAATCATAGATAATTTTAAAAAGAAAACAAATACTAGAGGCACAAAAGGGAAAAATAATGTCAAAAAGGGAAGACAAAAAAAAAAGCATGGATAGTTTTTAAAAAATCCAAAGACTAAAAAAAACATTGGTAAAAAAGAAAAATAAATACTAAAGTCACAAAAGGGGAAAATGAATGTAAAACATTGATAAATTATTATTTACAAAAACAAACTTAAGGCAAAATGAATGTAAAACATTGATAAATTATTTTTTACAAAAACAAAGACTTAAGGCAAAAAAGGGTAAATGAATGGAGAGAGATTCGAACCCTTAACCAAATTATTTTTTACAAAAACAAAGACTTAAGGCAAAATGAATGTAAAACATTGATAAATTATTTTTTACAAAAACAAAGACTTAAGGCAAAAAAGGGTAAATGAATGGAGAGAGATTCGAACCCTTAACCAAATTATTTTTTTACAAAAACAAAGACTTAAGGCAAAATGAATGTAAAACATTGATAAAATATTTTTTACAAAAACAAAGACTTAAGGCAAAAAAGGGTAAATGAATCGAGAGAGATTCAAACCCTTAACCAACCAACATATAGCAAATCAATTGCACTCCTTTATTACCATTGCAGCAACTTACCTATTCATGAAATAAAATGCAGTGTAAAATATATATACCTTAACTTAAAACAGGCTATTTTATAGAATTTTTTTTCTTTTCTTTCTTTTTTTAATTTAGGGGGAGGCACGTGCCCCCAAGGTCCCAACGTGGGTCCGCCAGTGGGTTGGATAACTCACGAGCTAAGACCTTAGAGGAAACGAGAAAAATGACTGCAAAGAGAATGCTAAAAAGCATTTTTTTAGAAGAGACCATTTTTTAAATTACAGTAAGAGATTATAGATTTTGGGTTGGGTGAGAAGAAGAAGAGTCGAGCTATAATGCTTTTATAGGCAGTTTCTTCTTAGATGTGCTAGAGTTTTGGATATATATAGTGCTGTCAAATTTCAAACCGAAACCGTTTAACTGTCCGAAACCGACCGATCCAAATGAGAACCGAACCGATTAAAACCTGATTTTTTTGAAACCGAAAACCGACCCGAACCGTATTTTAGTAAACCCGAAACCAAATCAACCCGAATAATGTTAAACCGTATAAGAACCGAACCCGTTAACAAACCGAACCGAATATAAACCGAACTGAAAGAAAACCGAACCGAAAAAGAACCAAACCGTATCTAACCCAAAATCGGTTCCAACCCGAAACTGTTTAAACTGGCAAAAAAAACCGCTTACACCGAACCGTTAGCAAACTGCTACCCGTTTGCACCGAACCATTTAAAAACCGAACTGATTGTAAATTGAACTGGTTATAAACCGAACCGTTTATGAACCAAACTGCTTCTAAATCGAACCGTTTACAAACTTTTTTATATAATTAAATGGATTTTTTTTTTTTGACGGGGATATAATAAAATGGATTAAATATTAGAAATGTTAGAATATTTTTTTTAAAATAGAAATGCAAATCATTCATTAAGGTCTTAAGGATAATCAGTGTTCACAAACAAGAGCAAAACAAGCAGGCTCAGGCCCTGCCTCAAACTATTAGCAACACTACTGCCTCTAGTCATGTACACATTTGAGGTGATGAAACCAAATGAACAAAAAGCTTGTAATATTAAGTACCAAGGCTTGGCTGAAGGCGTAATAAATAAAATTAATTCACAGAGACTATTAAACATATGATTACATTGATTCTGTGAGTAATAATGAAATAAAGATGGGAGTGTGCTAGTGACATGAATATACTATTAGGCTATGTTTTAATTCCGATTCAACTATAATTTAGTAAACTTGAAATGGAACCGATATGAATAACGTTAAAGTGGTTAAACAATCGAAGAACCGAACCAGTTATAAATTGAACCGAAAAAGAACCGAACTAGTTAAAAACTGAACCGAAAAAGAATCGAACCAGTTATAAATTGAACCAAAAAAGAACCGAACTATTTCTAACCCGAAACTATTTCCAACCCGAAACTGTTTAAACCGGGATAAAAACTGTTTACACCGTACCGTTAACAAACCGCAACCCGTCTGCACCGAACCGTTTACTACCCGGACTATTTACAACCCGAACCGAATTAAAACCGCTTAAGAATAAACCAAAACCGAATCGAACCGATAACTATTTAAACCGAACCAAAACCGACCCGTGAGACAATTAAACCGATTCCTAACCTACCCGATTAAATACCGAACCAATTTCAAACCGAACCGAAACCGAACTATCAAACCGTTTTGACAGTGCTAGATATATGGATTCAACATTTTACCTACCATTGTGGCTGCGTAATAACGTTATTTAGATGAGAAAATATCTCACAAAATTTAAAATAGTGGAAGTATATTAGCTCAAGTTGTTTAAAACGTACACAATCTGTATTTGAACATTTTTATCTTACTCTGTATAATTTGTGTTACATAATAATACAAATTTACAAAAATTTAAAAAGGTAGCTTATTCGTCTACATACTTAAATTAGAATGTTTTTTTTTGCAACAAAAAAGAACACATTAATAGGAAGAATAATAAGAATTAAAAGTATCATCCAAAATTTATTTTTAGGTAATTTTGCATTAAACCACCTTTTATAACCATTTTTTTTTGGCAAGAAACCACCTTATAAATTTTTATTTTTTTTTGCAAAATCACCTTAATCTTTTTTTTTTTTCGCAAAAACACCTTATTCTTAAATTTTTTTGCAACCCCACATCTTTTGCCAGAAAATACACTTTAACCTTTGTTTTTAGGGGTTGACCCGACCACATGCGGAGCACGTGTATCTCTAAAACCACTAATCCTCCCTTTCTCTTTCTCTCTCTTCTAATTCTACCCAATTTTTCCCTCCAATAGCAATTACCCTCTCTTTCTCTCTCCTTCTTCACTGTTCTTTTCCCCTTCCCATTAAAAGCGATATCATCCTCTCGTCATTAACTCTCTGCTGCTCTGCCATGGCTTCAACGAATTGAATGCTTCAATTCGAATCTAATTGATGGCCCTAGGTGAAAGTAAGCTCTCTATTTCTCTCTTCTTTTTTATTGCATTCAGCTGTTTGTACTCTGTTAATCGCTGGTCCTTACTTTTTTCCATGGGTAAAAAAATGAGATCTGCTGCATCATCATCATCAAGAAAGCGTGATGGGGGACCAAATACTACATCATTCAAAAACCAAGGTACAATTTTCAATTTTTTCAATTTTTATAATGATAGGGTTTAAAAAAGTTTAATTTGAAAATTTTTATGGTAAAGTGGGATTGAATGTTGGGAATTGGCATGACATGCATGTACTTGAATATTGTAGTACATGTGATTAGTGTTTGGTGTGGGTTGGATAATTTCTTTATTAGTTTAATTTTCTGAAGTGCATTGATTATTATGTGTTTTATGTGATGCTTTTGAAATGTTTGTTTTGTTTTTTTTTTTTGTTTGCTTAACATTGAATTTGTTATTTGTGTCTGTTTTATTTTTATCAGGTTTAATGATAGGATAAATATTTTTGAGCCTTGGTATAAATTTATAGATCCAATTAATATTAGGCTTATGTATGGTGGTGAATTTGTAACTAAAAGGGGGAAAACAACATATGAGAAGGGGAACAACAGTTACGATATATAGACTGAGCTTATATCCCAGTGTGCCTGAAGTTTGCTATTTTGAATTTGTGCATTGGATAAAAAGTGAGTTAGGTTATGATGAGGTTGGGGAGATTTGGTATAGGAGGAAAGGGTGTACTACTTTGTACTATGGCAGAAAACAAATCTTAAGTGAAAATGATATACCAGATTTTTTAGAAGTAAAAGAACCAGATGGTTTGTACATATTGTACTTGTATCATCCTCCCAAAGACTTAGCTGTTGAAAAAGCAAGACTTAGGTATAGACCAACGGTGGGTTTTTACACATATTTAGATGTTTCAAGTGATGGAACCTTTACCAAACATGAGTCTCACATTGAAAAAAAGAGAAAATTGTGACTTTATAAGGGTAAGGCCAGGGTTACTCACCTCATGGAATCTTCTTGCTCGTATAAAGTGGACAATCGTGACGGGTGTGGCCTAGGCCTGTTTATCAAAAATAATGATTGTGATTAATCAACACTAGTAGAAAAATAGAAATTGGCACCGAGCAATGGCCACCGGTTTTTGAGAACCGGTGGCAAAAAAAATGGGGAAAAATCGGCGAGATCATGAGGAAAGGGTATTGCCACCGGTTCAAACCGAATCGGTGGGGAAATTATTAATGCCACCGGTTTAAAATCGGTGGCTCTGTCTTTACAAAAAAAACCGCCCCTTCATAAACCCTAACCCTATCACTCTCCTCTCTACAACCTCCCCTCCTATCCCTTCTCTCTGCTGCTCTCCCCCTCTCTTCTCTCTCGTGCGATCTCCCCTCACTTCTCTCCTGCGATCTCCCCTCACCACTTCTCTCTCATTCTCAACAACCATCATCGCCGCCGCCATCTATCTCTCATCTTCTTCTCTCTCGTTATCTCTCTTGCCGTAGTTAGGGCTCAGTTGCAAAATCGAAAATCTCCCCTAAAACCATAAAACACAGGCGAAAGCTCAACAATGGCGGACGGGTCGAAGAATCTGGCGCCGAACGCTTTTCCCCGTAGTTTCTCTCTCCTCCATTTATGTAATAGCTTAATCTGACCTAATTTTTTGTGCAATTTTTGGTGATTTTGATTTGAATTTGTGAAATTTTCTCAGCGAAATTGAATACGAAGAGAAAACGGTGAATTTGATTCAGCGAATCGACTTCGCGTGGGCGTTGGAGAGAGATGCGAAGAAGCAGAAGATGAAGGAATCATCTGCACTGTAAGATCCTTTTACTACGAATTACACTGATTTTATTCTGAGCTGAAATTAACACTATTACAAGCTATTTTTGGTTGTTTTTCTGATTTTTTTTTTTGCCATTTAGCTGATAGATTTGTTAGTTGTTTGATAAAATGTATTGATTATTGAGCTTGAATCAATTTTAACCCAGAATTGTGGGAAATTTTGCTTGGTTTTTGCTGGATTTTGGTGGGTACTTAGACCTATGGATTAATTTTTGTTTGATTGAATTTTGGTCTAATTGTGTATAAAACATGATTACAGTTGCCTTAAATTGTGATGTTATGTGAATTTTGGTTTGATAGTATTTCCATAGTTGTTATGTGATAGACAAGAAAGAGTACTTAATGTGAGATTCCCATGTCCAGGAGAAATGATAGTTCCAATTGCTGAACTACAGAACAAATAGGTAGCAGATAGATAATATCACTTACAAGATGAATTACCTTGCTAATTTTGTTATTTGAAAGCTATGGTTTTATATTACTCTTATTAATCTATATGCTTACTTGGTGTTGGATTGAAGTTGCATTTGTGGTTTTGTATATGCAAGACTTACAAAGTTACACTAAATAGGACCTGCTCAAAGTAACAAGGAAAAAGCAAAGGGAGGTTGGACCTTGAAAAACTTGGTAGTTTTAGGTGTAACCATGTATATTCCTAATAACTTTAAGATTATTATCCTGCCCATAGATTATGACATTTGCAGCTTAGATTGAAAACTTTTAACCAATTTATTTTCAAGATCGTGCATTTTCTTTGTGAGCTACTATGTCTACAATGTTTCCTCATTTTTTAGTAATAAAGTAATAAAGCTACTATGTTTACAAATTGTGATCACATGCTTGAATATATAGCTCTTATAAAAGAGATAAACAATAGAATAGTATGCTCTTGTTATTTTACAATTAGATCAAGGCATCTTTAGCACAATTTTTTGGTGATTTTGATTTTTTTTTTTTAATTTTTCTGCGATTTTTGTTTGGTTTTGTTGATGAAATGGTTCTAAGATTTGCTAGTAAAAGGTTCTAAGATGATGCTAATTAATGAAATTGAAATTACTTGGCAGAACTTAAAGTTTGAATAGCTGCAAAAACGACTAGACAACCCTTTGCAACCCCCACTACCTTGATGGCATTACACAGTCATTGTATTTTGATTTTGCTGTTGAGTCTATGAAGATCGTTGAATTGGTATGTGCTTCAATTAGTAGAACTGTTCTAATTCTCTTTGATTTATTGGTATTAAATACGGGCAAATTTATTAGTATATGTTCTAATCATTAGAGTATAATAAGCTGATGAAACCGAACAAGTAGGATCTATCTTGAGTGTGCTCTTATATATTAAACCGAGCAAGTAGGATCTATCATGTTTATTTTGCCTTACTTCGAGTATTTGATTGGTTATATATGGTTGAATTTTCTTTTTGTTGGAAATATTCTGTGGTGCTTATTGTAAGGGGTCAAAATCAAATTAGTTTTCTGATAATTTTGACATTTGATGATGATATTTTTGTATTCTGCTGTTGTGATTGATTCTTTGTTATTATGCATTATTATTGATGCTGCTGCAATATGCCTATGTGGTATGATTGTGAGATTTGATTATTTCTAAATACAATGTTGATATGATGTGCCTATGTGGTGCCGATGTGTCTTAGGTTTCTTAATTTTGAGTTTTGGTGAAATAAGGGATCCTTAAGTATGATATGCATTTCTCTTGGTGCACTTGTGTTAATTGCTAATTTAAGCTACTCGCTTTTACTGCCCTTGCTGCCTGGTTTTGATATTATGATATATATATATGTGTGTGTGTGTGTGTGTGTGTGTGTGTGTGTGTGTGTGTGTGTGTGTGTTTATGTGCTACAAATACTTGGCACTTTAAAAGAGATAGATCACTCCCTCATGAGCATGTTTGAATTTGAGGTGCCAGCTTTTTATTCCCTTTCCTTTTTTTTTTTTTGGTTTTTGTGTTGACTAGACAGTCATGTAAATTCATAATAATGGAGTTTCCCAATCTAGGACAAGAAAAGGAGGGTGGGGTGAACCATATGAATGTAGAGAGTGAAATTTCAGTTTGTGTGTGTAAATTCTGCTTAGCTGTGTTTATTGCAATATGCATGCATTCTGTATCATGCTACCTTTATTGTGAGTGTGGTGTAGTAAGGACTGTATACGAAGTATATATTAAGATCTGTTGCTTGAACAAGCTTGCAGGTCCACAAAGAGGGACAATTGCATTTATCGCTTGATTGGAGTGGTGGAGCATTCTAGATCAATGTCAGAGGAGGTGACAAAAGAGAAAATATACGAGGACTATTGGAAGATTTTATCTATACGCAAGGTTGCTGTTGCCTCGCCAAGGCTATTACATTGGTGTGACTTAGCTTGTATTTAACAGTGACTAGTATTTTTTTTTAAGTTTTTTGGACCAAAATTGTAATATTACAGCCTTTTTTTTAATGAAAATATGTAAGTATATATATATGTTAGTGTTTATATATCAATTTATGTGGAAAAAATGCAAAAGAATTTTTATTTTTTTATTTTTTTGGGCCATTTTTGCCACCGGTTTTGAACAGAACCGGTGCCAAAAACCCCTTTAAAAAAAGCGGGAATGGGTTTTTGCCACCGGATAACCGGTGGCCATAATAAATATTACCACCGGTTAATCGGTGGAAATAATCATTTCTGCCACCGGTTTTGAACCGGTTGCCTTTCTTGGGGTTATTGCCACCCCCCAAATGACCACCGGTTCAAAACCGGTGGCTTAGGGGGGTTTTGAACCGGTGGCTAAGTGGTTTTTTCGCCTAGTGCAAACAAACCAACTTATCTCAAATTAAAACATTTTTTGGGTCAAAATGTTGTAGTACTTGTATATATTGTTTAAGAAAATCCAAATCATGTCTTCTTTGGATTAAAATAGGTAAAATTTGTGTTTGGTTGAAATCTGAAAGATGAAATTAACTATGTTGGTTGATTTTGACTAGCTTATTGTATTAACTGATTTGACTAACTTTTATATTAGTTGATTGTATAAAAGTGTCTAATAAATAGCTTGTTTCTTAAAGCTGATTGAGTATGCAAAATAACAAATAAGGACATTATATTATTGAAATCTTTGATTTGAATTGAAAGGATTAATTATTGCACAAAAGATAGATATACTGTTAGATAAATTTACATGCTACGTATATATAATTGAGCATATTATTTATTTGATAAAAAAAATGATAATTTTTTTCTTAAAAAAAGCATGAAAAATAATGAAAGAAAACCTAAAAAAACATAAAATCAAAACAAAGAAAATTAAGGCAAAAATAATTGAGAAAACTAACCTTGGGAGTTGCAGTGGCTTGGGAGTGAGTGTGCTAGTTAGTTGTAAATTTGTTATAGTGTTTAGTAATAAATAAGGGCGAATTTGTAATTTAGGTAATTCTACCAAATTATCTTTTGCAAAACACTACTAATATCAACTTTTTTTTCCAATTCAAGCTTACCACTAAACACTAGCATCAGAGTTACCCTTGTACTAAAACTCGGTGACAAATCTTCAAGATGTCAAAGTTGCATGCACCCTTAAAGGTATTGTTCAAATTAGGCCTGTGCACAATCCCAAAAGCTTTGAGCGGAACATATACATCTCCCCAAAAGAAATGGGATTGAAAAAATTAAGTCATGTATGTATGCAAGCAAGAGCAAGCTAGAAAGAGCGTAAAACGTCGTAGGGTTGATTTTTGGTTTTACAACTAGCTAGCTTAGGGGTGTCAATTCGGATAACCAGATTGAATTTTAATTGACCTATGACGGATCAAGTATGTTTGGTTAGGTCAAGGTTACCCTTTTGACTCATCTCGATTTGAGTCGGGTTACTTTCGGGTTCAGATCTGTCAAGTTAGGGCTGAGTAGAGTTAACTTCAAATTGATTTGTATTTGGCCCAGAGAAATTTGTATCGATATGAATCGGTTGGATGATATGACTTAAGGTTGGGTTGAATCATGTATATTTTATTTTGGTTCAATTTAAAAATCTTTGATTTAGTTTGACTAGGAAAAGGTTAACTCAATATTTAGTCAATTTCAAACCCTTATGGGTTTAGATGAATTTGGGTCAAGTTAACTAAATTCAATATTCAAATAAGGTCTTTTTATACTAGAGTAATTATTGAGTTGGGTCACTATTAGGTCATTCCTTTTTCATTTTCCACGTCATTAACACCTATGGATTATAAGATTTCTCATTAAATTAGATCAAGTCTTGTGTCATTTTTATTATTAACCCAAATTAAAATCGAATTATCGATGACTTGTCATACCTCATAAGTGAGATGATAAGTAACCTAATGATAGATCAATAGATGATTGCCACGAAATGATTTTAATTAAACTTGAGTATAGTAAAAACATCAAAATAATTAAATTGAAGAAATATACATAGTACAATGTATATTTTAATTTATTACATTACAAATTAAAATTTTTTATGGTCATGACTCACCCTTCCAAAAGATGTTAGGTTTTACGGTATCCCGAACACCGTGCGGAACCAAACCCCACCCCGAACCACATGCATTAATTAATACAACTAGTAAGCATATAACTAACAAAACAATAAACACATCAATAAAAGAGAGAGAGATATATATATAAGGGAAAAGACCATCTTAATCTTGAAGCATGCTTCTCCTGAAAACGAGCATCACCCTTGAAACCTTTATATCCGCACATGCGAAATCCTCCCGCTTTGAACACCCACGCGCCCGAACAATATTCCTATCTTGTAGCTTAGACGAGACCGACCAAAAAGGAAGTTTTATGAACTCTAAGGTTTTTTCGACTCCCAAATTTGGTATTTATAGGAAAAGAATCCTCATTTCCCACAATAGTTTTTCCATGTGGGAGAAGTGGTAAAGTGAGAAAATAAGCATCTAATTTAATTCTAAACTAAATTATATACTTAAAGAAATATGCAAATAACAAGTGTCAATACAAGAGAAGGGGTAGTTGAGGACCACAAGGGGAGGACCACTTGCTTTCCTTGTTCCCCAAGCAAGCTGCCAACTTATCCAATAGCAAGCCTAGTAGGCCAGCTAAGCCTTGGAGCCAGCTAGCACCTTTTCCATTGGTTGGGCCTGCCAGCTCATCGCAAGCCAACGAGAGCTTGCTAGTCAACCTACTCGCGTGCTTGCGGGCTTATGATATGATAGCACTGCTAGCAATGTCCTACTCGCATGCTTGCAGGCCGATGCTAGTGGGTTGCTAGCTTTGTCTTGATCGTATGCTTGCGAGCTAGCGCTACTAGCTTTGCGGGCTCGGCCAGCTCGCCCAACCAGCACACATGTGTGGTTATTGGGCTTGTGGCCAAGGTCACACATAAGGCTAGAAGCCTTGCTAGCTTAGCCAACCTAGCCCTCGTATGGTTAGGTCTATGTGAGGCTTGGACTTTGTGTGTAGTGTTGACCTATGTTAACTACAAGAAAATTACCTTTTTGTAGCGATTATTCTAACATTTTTATTGATTGTAATTGCTACAAAAAGTTTTCCCAATGAATGGTCATATGATACCATATCCTCCGTTACCATATCCGTTACCATACCCTTGAAACCTTTATATTCACACATGTGAAATCCTCCCACTTTGACCAGCCACGTGCCCAAACAAGGTTCCTATCTTGTAGCTTAGACGAGACCGATTTATGAACTCTAAGGTTTTTCTAACTCCCAAGGTTGGTATTTATAGGAAAAGAATCCCCATTTCCCACAATAATTTTTCAATGTGGGAGAAGTGGTAAATTGAGAAATTAAATTAGCATCTAATTTAATTCAAGACTAAATTATATACTTAAAGAAATAAGCAAATAACAAGTGTCAATACAAGAAAAGGGATAGTTGAGGACCACAAGGGGAGGACCACTTGCTTTCCTTGTTCCTTAAGAAAGCTACTAACTCATCCAATAGCAAGCCTAGTAGGCCAGCCTAGCCTTGGAGCCTTTCCAATGGATTGGCCTTCCAACTCACCGCAAGCCCACGCGAGCTTGCTGGTCGACCTACTTGCGTGCTTGCGGGCTTATGATAGCACTGCTAGCATTGTCATACTCGCAAGCTTGCGGGCTAATGCTAGCGTTGCTAGCTTTGGCTTGTTCGCAAGCTTGCGGGCTAGTGCTGCTAACTTTGTGGGCTCGACAAGCTCGCCTAGCTAGCATACATGCGTGGCTGCTGGGCTTGTGGCCAAGGTCACGCATATGGCTAGCAGCCTTGATAGCTTAGCCAATCTAGCCCTCGCATAGTTAGGTCTATGTGAGGCTTGGACTTTGTGTGTTGACTTATGTTAACTACAAGAAAATTACCTTTTTGTAGCGATTATTCTAACATTTAGTATCGATTGTAATTGCTACAAAAAGTTTTCCCAGCAAATGGTCATTCGATACAATATCCTTAGTTACCATATCCTTTAGTAGTGGTTTTAATATCACTGGGGTTTCCCCTAATAATCGATACGAAAAACTACATCCAACCATGGTGATTATTGTAACTATTATAAGCGCTATAATTGTTGATCTCATTTTGATAAAAAAAAAACAAAAAAAAAAAATCATACATATGATCTTTACAAGATTTGAACTTACATTTTTCAAACTCTAATATGAAATATTTAACGAATAAGTTATGACCTATATTATGTATTCCTTGTCAAACAATATTTGTATATATATCTAGCGTAGATAAGGTTTTTCGTATCGATTTTTGGTTTTAGTGGCGATTGTAAATGATACGAATTCTCATAGATTTATAATAGTTCAAAAAAAGGGTGGATATGTTTTATTAAATTTTTGTATCGGTTTTATAAGGGATTACCATGGCAATTGTAAAATGATACGATTTCCTCTACTATTTCACAAATATATAATGCGTGCATATTGTAACGAATGTATAATCAATACAAAAAATTCGCTATGAAAAGACAATTTTCTTGTAATAATTTTTTGACTCATTTCTTGTCTCGTCGATTCCTAGAATCGACTCGACGTTCGATGCTCAAGTTTGACGTTCCATGCTTAGAATCTAACATTTGCATTCGTAAAATCCTTATCTATGTATATAATCCTTCGGATTTATCTATCGCCTTAATTTTGTTAGACGATTAGGTGGTGTGACCAGGGTTTAGTCAAGAGCAAGCTGTAAGATTATTTAATCTTACTGATTGAAAGTGGTCTCCATTTAGGCATTCCGATCATTTGACTTCACTGAATAATTAGCTTTCCATATTAATTTTGAACCTCTATCGGAGTAATACACTTGTTCGAATGACACCATTCTTTTGATCAACCTCCCATTTGTCCCTCGGGCTAGTGGGTTATATGTGTTTTGCCCTTTTCCTATGTTACTTAATGCCTCTTCATAAAATCATAAGGTAAGATTTATCGTCATCCTTATTACATCCAAAAGTGTATCTCGAAATTTCAAGTTCGACCGTCAAGCAAAGATGATTTTTAAAATCCAGCTGAGGATGACCATGCATTTTCACAGCTTTGCTCTTCGAGAGGCCTTGTTAACAACAAAAACATATTTCCTATTGCTAATAGGAGGACATTCCCAGTCTTGTATTGTCAAGATATTCTAAGAGGACTAGTTGTTTGAGTGTTGTCTTTATAATCCCCTATTTACGGTTTTCGTTTGACAACAACAAAACAGACTAGTACTCAAAGAAGCGAACTCATTATACACATGGTTGAGGAAAAAGGTACTGATAACCATAATGACAAAATTTATTATAACAATTATTAAATCTCTTAATGTATTCTCGTAGGTTAATCTAGTACATCTTTAAACTTGTACCTGTGCAAACAATTTATGACATTGTCTTTATTGATACCCTATTTTGAATATTGTCAAATCAAATGGACTCAATATTTAATTCTAAACCACAATTACATAGACATGGAATAATAATTTTGCAAATATAAAATTACTCCATATATGAATGGTTTACTTAGTGTTTTACATCAAAATCTCAAATAATTAATTAAAACACATAAATAAGGAAATTAGAGCCACCTTTTACGTGCCTAATTCCCATTGCCTCAATGTGCTTGTTGTGTTTCAATTGAATAAAAGTTTTAATAAGTGAAATGGCTACATTATCATCTGTTCAAACTTTGCAAATCTTTATTTCACTTCTAGTAGTCCACTACCTTATCATGTGAAATCGCCTCATGACATGTTTGACCTTATGATGTTCCTTAGGTTCCCTGACCTGAGAAATAGCCCCATTATGTCACAAAACAAGTCTATTGGTCCCTTTATTATATTGAGAGCACAATGCCAAGTTCATCAACAAACTTACGAATCCAAACTGCCTCCTTAGCTGCTTCCAAAGCTGCTAAGTATTTGGCTTTAGTGGTAGAATTTGCAATTGTGCTTTGCTTAGCACTCTTCCAACTGAACGCTCCTCCATTTACATAAAATATGTATCCAGATTGCGACTTGAAATCGTCTCTGTCTGAAACTTGCTTCGATTTAACCTTCAAGAACCAAGTCCTTATTTCCACCATAGACCAGAAATTTACCATTGTTTCTTTTCAAGTACTTTAGGATATATTTGGCCGCAGTCCAATGCGCCTCTCTTGGGTCTAATTGGTATCGGCTCGTAGCACTCACGGCGTACAATACATCTGACCTTGTTCATTTATAGCGTGCATGATTGATCCAATTAGCAAAGCATATGTAATCTGATTCATTCTCTCAACTAAAAGTTTTAAATTGATAGATGAAGTTCAAAAACATGTAATTTTATTAGTAAGATAGATAGAATTGACCTATAATTTTGTATAGTAAAAAAAAGAAATACATTAAAGTCAGTTGTGAGTCATTTTCCTAAAAAGACGATAAAAACCAAATTTTTTTAGGAAATTTTGTCAAAAACTACCAATTAAAGTGCGTGTTTTGAAAACAACTACCTATTAAAAATTTTTTAAAAGAATTACCACAAAATTGTAAAAAGTTTAAGTAGCACTACCACTTTAATAATTCCAACTAGAATATTCGGCATGTAGGTTCTACTTTTTACCTTTACCTTATAAAATCATCATCTAAATTAACTAAATTACCCTTCATAAAGGTAAAAAGTGATAAAAAGTGAGACTCAAATACCGGAGATTTTAGCCAAAATTGTTAAAGTGGTAGTGCTAGTTAAACTTTTTATATCTTTGTGGTATTTCTTTTAAAAAGAAAATTTAATAGGTAGTTGTTTTCAAAAACACGTGTTTTAATTGGTAGTTATTGACAAAATTTCCTTTTTTTTACTGTGAAAGTGAGGGAGTAGATAAGTAGATTGGAATCATGTGGTGGAAAATATCATATTTATGGTGGAGACTATTTGTTTTTTGTAATGTAAGGAAGTAACTTCTTTTTCAGTAGGGTACTAGTGACTTTAAAAAGTAGCCACATTTTTAAGTAGGGTAGTGACTTTAAAAAGTAACCGAAAACTAAAAGCACAAAATGGGTAATCACTAATCAGTGTGTTTATCAAAAATCATTATGGTGCCCATTATCATAATACTAGTATTTTTACAATTTAATGTCTCCAATTCGCGTTTTCTAGACTACTCAAAATTGAATTGCTCTGACGACTCGTCACGATCTTACACTCTTCAAGGGTTGTTTGACACCAATCGCAACCAGCTACTTTCTAAGTTGGCCTCCGAAATATCTACCGTTAATGATGGTTTTGTTACAAAAAAGCAAGGCTTAGAAAATGAAGAACCTGCTTATGGCCTTGCCTTGTGCCGAGGTGACCTTGATCGCGATGATTGTAAAGAATGTGTCAACAAGGCAGGCGAAGTGTTAAAAAGGGTGTGTCAAACTTGGGAAGGAATAATTTGGATGGAAAATTGCACGCTTCGTTTTTCAAACTATTCTTTTTTCAATCTCCTACAACTACAACCCAACTCAGTGCTAGAAAACACCAATTTTATCACGAATCATGTCAAAGATTGGACTAAGTTGCTCAACGATTCGTTGAGAAATGTAACGTCCAAGGCAGCTTCGGTCAAGTCCGGTAACAAGTTTGCCACTACTAAGGCATGGTTTTCACCGTTGAAACAGAACTTGTACGCTTTGGCTCAATGTACTCCAAACTTGACAAGGGAAGATTGTACCAAGTGCTTTGGTGTAGCTAAAACCCTTTTTAATAGCCTTTTGCGTCGAGGGGGGATTGTGCTAACGCCTAGTTGTAATCTAAGGTATGAATTATATGAGTTTTTTAACTTAACAAAATTGAAGCCATCATCAAGCTCACCAATATCAAGCATAGCACCTTCTACTACAGAAATTGCAAGAATTATTCCAGGTATGTAAATTAAGTTTTGTTTTAGAGAATTTATATTAGCTATATGTACAATCCATTTCAAAATAATTGACATGATTAATTTAATCACACTATTTAATGTAATATTTTGAATTTATATTCAAGGTAAAAAATTAAATATTAGTAGTAAAAAAATAATTATATAAAAAATTATTGTTTTAACTATGCTATATTATATTAATACCTATTTTTATAACTATTTCTATTTATTTTATAACCTTTTTATGTGATAACATTTGTTTTTAATTTATGAGTAAAAAAATGTAAAAAATCAATGCCTTTTCTGCTACATATTATTAGTGAAATATTTCATTCAGATACGTTTGCCAATTTATGTTTTTTTTTTGTTTTTTGTTTCTCTTTAAAACCACCTAAAGGGAAAAATTAATTAATCAAATCAGCCAAAGCAACTCCATAATATGAGCCGGAATCACATCGGTCATCGGACCACATTCGTTGGCCAACTTCCTAAGGTTGAAGATGAGTCAATTCATATGCTAATTTGTTCCCACCCCTCTTTACAAAAGACCAGTGAATACCAACGAAACTACTACTAAATAAAGAAAATATCATCAAGCAGCAAGTGAAAATAACTAGACACCGTTGCCTTATTTTGCAAAGCTTGGACCACGAACATAAAATCACTCTCCACCACGTACAATCCCATCTCCTGAGCTAGTTATACCCCCTCAACACCGCTTGTGCCTCTTGTTGGAGATAGAAGACTAAATTTGCAAAAGGTAAAGTAGAAGAAAGCAAATTATGAAAATTGCATCAAACAAAAGCAACATACAAAGCCTTAAATGGTACTCCCAAAATAACAATCCACTTCCTATAAAATAGGAACGCGAGTTAGATTAGTGTGAGTAGTGAACTCACCAACTCCTAATACTTCTCAAATCTCAACTAAATGAAACATGTTATTCACTAACAAAACAAACTGACCAACTAACTAACACCATGCATATACTAGAAATTAGGAAGCAAATAACAATTGAATGTTTGCAGCACTATTATCAAACCAACGCGTAGGGGCGGAGCCACGGGTGGGCTGGTGGAGGCCCGGCCCCCATGGCCCAAACGCCAACTCTTGTATCTCTTTAACTATTGGCCCCCTTTAAAATTAGGTTAAATATTGAATGGTTCTTAAAATAATATATAGAAGAGTATAGTCAGTAGTAATTTCGGGTATTTACAATCCCAGGAGACCCGAGGGTCAAACCTTGTTACATACTTTCTCAATTATTTATTTTTTTGTTAGTTTTGCGATTACTACTTGTATTTTAGTAATCCATACTAATCTTTCTTTGATTAGTTCTCACATATTTTCTTTCGTACATCTTTCCTTTAATTAATTTTGTCCATTTACTATTTTATTCCCATCTTTTATTAATTTATCATCATATTATACAAATTTAACCATTGATAACTTTAATATTACCTCTGATTCTTATTATTTGCGACAAGAGAGAGTATTATTGTGAGATATAAAAAATTTCTTTGGTGCAATTAACAAGAAACGGGTGTAGTAATTAATAGTAATTAAAGGTTAATATAAATGGTTTTAAAAATATATATGATCAAATAAAGGTAATTGTACTAGCGCATAAACAATAATTTAACAATGAAAAAAACGTACAAAATATAATATGAAGTACTATTTTATTCGTATAAGTTTCGGCCCCCTTGGATTTCAATTTCTGGCTTCGCCACTGCCAACGTGTGGTGGGTGCAGGCGGATGCACCATTTTCATGGCCTCATGGTGCTACGATCCAAAATGACGCTTTAAAAAAAAGGCAGAATGTACATCATGTTGTATCTTAGTGCACATAGCTATAGAAAAGAACATAGTGTTCACTCTAATGTACATCAGTTTTGTAAAAAAAAGAATAGATAAGTAGTAATTTTTCTTTTACCATACATTAAGTACAACACATTTCAATATATTTTCTTACCAAAAGTTCACTTTCTCTTTCCAAAAAGTATTTTTTTTTAAAAAAAAAAATACACTTCAAACCCTTTTGATTCCTTATATCCTAGAATAACTTCAACAAAATCAAAATATTGAGGCCAAATTTGTTCAAGATTACTGAAAAACCGAAAGGTAAGATCAAATTCGACATTATACTTGTTTATTTTGAGTTCAAGTGTTTGTTTTTTATAAATTTGATTGAAAATTGTAATTTTTTGCTCTATTTATTTTGTTTTTTGGGAATTAATTTGTGATTTATATGGTTTTGGTATTGCAATAAGAAACAATATAAAGTTCTTGAAGAAGACCGACAAATTATTACATTTTGAAAAAAGAAAGCAAGCAAATAAACAAATTTAGAAAAATTTGTAGATCTAAATAATAAAATGTACATTAAAATACAGTAAAATGTTCTTTTCTATTTCATATTCTATAAAGCGAAATGATTATATTATAGAAATGTAAGGAACACACACACACACACACACATACACACTATCTATTAAAAGGTAATATTAAAAGGTAATGAACATATACCTAGAGTAAAAAGAACACATTATTAAAATGTAATTAACATATACCTATAGTGAAAATAACATGCTGTTAGATAATGTTCTTTATCTTCTTCGTGTTATTTGATTGTCAAAATGTAACTTTATGTGTGACATAATATTAGTTGTTTATTTTGAAATGTTCTTTGCATTTTGTATTTAGATTATGGTAGCTGAATATAAAAAAAAATGTTCATTACATTATATTATCATGTTCTTTCCCTCTAAAAAAAAAAGTTTATATATATAGAGCAAAAGATGGATGGTTTTTTTTTTATTATTATTTTTTTTTTAATAAAATAGCTATATGTTCTTTACAAAATAACTATGTGCTCATTACAAAACAACTATTTCCTTCGTTCTTTTATTATTGCACCGAAATTTCACAAATATTGCACCATTTCTATTTATAGAAACAAAATATGTGTGTTCACAGCGTAAATTTTGTAAAGTACACTTTTAACACTTGATTCGTTACTTTATATTTACATCACATGGATAATTTTGTACTTTTACCCTTCTCTTTCTTCATTTTTCCAACTATCAAAACATGTGTGTCCAACATGTATGGTGCAATAATAAAAAAAAAGTGGAGGAAGTATATGTGATATTCTTTACATAATAGTTATATGTTCTTTACAAAACGACTATATATTCATTACAGTATAAGTATTTTATGTTCATTTTGCCTTAAATACCGCACCAAGACTCGAACCCAACTCCCCAACCACATCAGCATCTACACTGATCAGGAGGTGACCATGAATCAAGAAGGCTCACCGGCCAAGACAAGTAGGCAACCCTACCTTTCCTTTTCTCTTCGTCCTTAAATTCCACCTTTGTCAATTCATGGTCAGTTGGTTGAATAATAAAGAAAGAGTAAACATGAAAAAAAGTTAGGACAAATTAGCCAAAGATAGTGCCTCATTTTATGGGTTTCAATCCTCTCTCTCCCACTATTGTTTCTTATTTCATTTCCTATTCAATCTCATTGGTGCACATAATTTTAAATATAAATAATTTTTACAAACTGAATGAGACATGAAATATGATACAATAGTGGGATAGAGGATTTGGACACTATTTTACAAGTTAATCATAATAACCGATAATAATAATAATAATAAGGAAACTTTGTGAAAAACTACTTATTATAGTCCAGAATTTGCGAGAAACTACCTATTTAAAAAAATGTTGTAATTGACTACCTAATTTTCGAAAAATGTTGTGATTTACTACCTTACGCGGGATTATGAAGGAGTTTGACCAAAGTTATCCGGTGTTGACTTGGTCACGTGACCATCACGTGACACTTAATGACCTTTTTCTTTTACCAAGTGTCACGTTACCAAGTCAACACCGGAGAATTTTGGTCAAACTCCTTCATAATCCGGCGTAAAGGTAGTAAATTACAACATTTTAAAAAAAATAGGTAGTCAATTACAACATTTTTCTTAATAGGTAGTTTCTCGCAAATTCTGGATTATAATATGTAGTTTTTCACAAAATTTCCTAATAATAATAATAATAATAATAATAATAATAATAATAATATGTTTATTAGCATAATATTAATGTATTTATAGGCTTGCAAAATTTAACCACAAATTAATATAGACTTAGAAAATAAATCCTAAGATATAGTTACAAGTGAAAATAGCTTTTTATTTAAAAAAAATTAACAATAATATAGCTTTTTATTAATCTACTTTTCTTAAATAAATAAAAGGAAAATTCGTGAAGAAGGTCTTTTTAAGTATACTTTTTTGTAACAAAGGCTCTTTTATAAAAAAAAAAAAAAAGGTTGCACAAAAGGTCCTTATATCATGTTTGGGTTGTGAGGAGGGTCCTTTGACCATTTTTCGGCGTTGACTTTATTTATTTTCCAGGCAAAAAAAGCCACGTGTAAAACACGTGACTTATTAAGTTCTCTTTTTTTTTTTCCTGTTTTCTCTCGTTGTGGGGAGGATTAGTCTTGAATTACTTTGAATAGCCTTCAATTTAAATTTATGGGATTACAATTGAAGTTTTAGTGTAAATTGTTTTCATAAATTAGGGTTTAATAGGGGAAAAAAAAAGGAAAAACGAGGGGAAAGCAGAGGGAAAAAAAGGGAACTTATGTGTGACTTTTTTTTTGCCGGAAAATAAAAAAAATCAACGCCGAAAAATGGTCAAAGAATCCTTCCCTCACAACCTAAAAATGATATAAGGACCTTGTATGCCACTTTTTTATAAAATAGCCTTTGTCACAAAAAGATATACTTAAGAGTACCTTCCTCACAAATTTTCCAAAAATGCAACCCATTATTGTTTTTCTATTTCCACGCAAATTTGAGAAGGGACAAAAGTTAAAATTTTGTGAAGTGGGTTTCTCATCAGTCATCACTACTTTACTTTTCCATCAAATCACATTTTAATTTTGAGAAAAATAATGGATAAAGATTACTGTCTTTTCCTTTTCATTCCTTTCTTTCCTTTTCTTTTCGTCCATATTCCCCATCATAAGTTACAATTTCCACGTTAATTCACATAAACTAGATATTTCTATCTTTCCTTTCCTATTCGTCCATATATTCCACCTTTGTCAATTATATATGAACAAAAGAATAGTGCCTCATTTTACAAGTTAATCACAATTACCGATAAAAAAAAAGTTATAATTTTGTACCTCAAATTATTGCTCATTTAGCTAATAAACGTCACAATATATATGGATAATTATTATGATGAAAATCCAAATTATAAGAAAAAGAAGTGCATTCCTATATAAATTAAATCATATATAAATGAAATGTTCTCATCATGTCAAAAAAAGGTGAATAAATTAAAGTTTGAAAGTGAAAAGAGAGAGAGATAATGAGTTTTACGTATTTAGAGAATAAAAAAGAGGCTATATAAATTTAGAGAGATATTATGAATGTTTTGTATTTAGCAAGAGAAAACAAGTATATAAACAATTGTTTAACATATATGTATATATATATGTGTGTGATCAATTGCATCCAATGACTATAATTTATCACAATAAAGCATAATTTCAAAAACTATTTTCCAGCGTTTTCTCTCTCCTTTTTCATTCGACGCGCCATTTTCTCTCTCCTCTTTCAATTTCTCTACTCCCTTTCGTATTGCTATTCGCTTTGATTATTAACCAATTCTTCTACAAACTTCTTTGATTCTTTGTCAAGGTGATTTTAGTTTCATTTTCGTTGATTTTAGTTTGATTTTCATTGATTAAAGTTTGATTTTTGTTTTATTAATTAAGGTTTTCGTCAATTGAATTCTTCATTAATTAAGGTTTTCGTCAACATTTATGCAAATAAGTAGACAAGAAATTGCTTATTTAATTCCAAGAAGTTGTATGAAAAAGTTGTTTATTTGATTATCAAATATAATTTGCTCATCTTGAAAAAATGGCAAATGAAATACCCTTATATGATAGTCAATTGTACCATATAACAGGTTTTATGACAATAATTGCCTTAATTTACATGCTTGCATTTTATATATAGCTAATGAAACCGAGACTAAACGTATAATTATTTACCATCTCAAATGAATCTAAAGGCCACACCCACTAAAACTTAACAAGATGATTGTCAAAAAAAATAAAATAAATAAATAAATAAAATAAATAAAAACTTAACACGATGCATACAACTAATTTATCGTGTTTCTCATATATATAACGATCACTACATACGTCACTAGTTTTGTCCATTAGATCATTACTTTCAACAACACTGTACTAGAATGCTTTTGGCATATTTACTTAAATCATTAACTTGATTCACATTTCTTGTAAATTTTAAAGGGACTTGAACATTTTATAGTGATCATTAAAAAAAATAATTATTGTTATATTTTAATGATTATATAAATTATAATTGACATTTTTTTTCTAAGTATTAAATTTTATTAGTATTTTTTTTTTTCTCGGAAATACTTAATAATACCTAGATTTTGCGAAAAACTACCTAATTAAAAAAATGTTATAAGAAACTAGCCGATAAAAGATTAAAATTTGTAAGAAACTACTTCCTCTGTTTCTTTTTAGTTGACACGTTTCTTTAGTCTCGTTTTCCAATACACTTATTCAATCATAAATATCTTTAATTATCGATAAGCAAAAATTATGAAAAGTTGATATTTTTGAAAGTATATAACGTGACAAATCTAACAAAATCCCACATGACTATATTTTTTCATTACGTGTAAAGCACAAAACACGGTCAAAGGGAGCTGTGTGAATAGTGCTAAAATCAAAACGTGTCAGCTACATAAAAACGGAGGTAGTACCTAATAATGAGTAAAAAGTATAAAATGTTACTTTGGCTGGATTTTCAATGTTGATCTGACCCACCTCAGAACACCACCGAAATCATTGCTTTCTTCCCCAAATCCAACTCTACTTGCTTTAAATTGCCTCCACCACGTCGAAACCACACTCCAACCCCAAACCACCACCTCTAACCCCAAAAAACCAACATCTCGAAGCACGAAATTACCTTCACCAACATAGAATATCCTCCAACTATCCCAAAAATAACCTTATTCCATTGAAAACCAACCCCCGCGCAAAGGTGATATCGGGTATTTATGCCGTGAAATTAGGTCAACAACAAAAATTTGGCCAAAAAAAATCGTATCTTACAACATTTTTTAACATTTTTATTAGGTAGTGGCAAAAAATTCATTAGATTACTTTATTTTTCGTAAAGTAGAATTATTAACATTTTTTTATTTATCAAATTTAAAGTGTCATTTATGTAGCTCATTATTATAATTATTATTTTTTATTTTCTCAAAAAATATTAATTTATGATGGATTAAAATTTTCAAAAATTATACTTTTTTCGTTTTCACTTAATTGACACATTGAATTTAGGCACACATATTAAGTAGAGGAGAGAAAATAAGAAAAAAATGTTAAAACAAGTAGGGTATCCTAATAAACGCAAGGTATAAAACATACCTAAAAAGTAAACGTGTCAATTACTCCGTAAAAAGGATTACGTGTCATCTAAAAAAATGGAGGTAAGTATATATACTGTTCTAGTAATATTACAACAATTGCACTTTTACACGATTCAACACGCTTGTGTTGACCACATATTATAATTTATACATAAAGTAAAATATTGTCATGTGTGGGCTATATAGTTAGATTCATCTCGTAAAGTACTTTCACAATATCAGCTTTTTAAACATTTTACTCTTATATAATTATAATTATTTAGCATATAAAATGTGTTATGGAATGCGTAATTTCATCATCATTGTTGCAATATTTGTGGGAATAAATTAAGTATTATTTACATTGTAGATATTAGAAGACTAATTGTGTCGATATTATAATATGAATAATGAATCTGTTATTATGGATAAGTGTAATGGAAAGGTTTAGGAATTCAACGAACCTGAAACAATATTTATGTGAGAATTTAGATTTCCTCGCCTCAAACAAAAATATTGTTTTAATTATGTTTTTATAAAATAAAACAATAACCCTATTGATATTTTTCCTCTTCAAATAACTATCATTATTTTTACGCTCCTAATGATTTTCCTCCTCAATAAAACCATAATTTAACTTTCTAGTAAGCCTAAATCCTCTGATATAGGCTAACCTAACTAGAAACTCAACTCCCTAATCCTAAATAATCATAGATTGATTATACAAACCTAAAATATATCTAGTTTAGTAATTACAAACCTCATCTAATTAGGAAATTTACTTAAAATATTACAATCCTAAAATATTCAAAAAAATTTACTTAATTATCGATTGCCTCACAATTTTCGAAAATGTTATGGTAAAGGATAGGATACCTACAATTTCTATGACATTTACATATTTAAACCACTATATTATTCTCCAGGAAATAAGAAGGCAACTGCAAAGAAAGTAGCTGTTGCGACCATTGTGTCGTTAGTGGTTATGGGATTATTAATAACAGGCATTTGTGTCTTTCGAAAGAAAGCAAAGAAGTACCCTTCTCCGGACGCTAAAAATGGTACTAATCCAATTAATTCATACTTTGATTCTATTTAACTTTGAATAATACTTTGTTGCTATATATAGTGCTTGATGATTTGATAACTGCGGAGTCTTTGATGTTCGATTTGAGAACACTCGAAGCTGCCACGAACAACTTTTCTAATGACAACAAGCTTGGTCAAGGCGGGTTTGGCACTGTTTATAAGGTAACCAATGGGTCACGACCTTCCTATGAAATCGAGTATGGAATTAGCTATCTCATATTCACAATATATAGTAGCTTTAACTAAGATACTCCGTCTGTTTCTTTTAAAATGGTTCACTTTCAAATATAGGGAGTTTGTAGTATTGTTAATGTACAAGCAAAAATGGGCGATAAATATACAACAATATACAAAGTAAAAAGCATCACTACTATTAAAAATAGCATAAAGTGGAGTGCATTTTTTGTGCGGCTAACTACGTGGCCGATGTAAAAGAACTAAGTAACCCTTAAACGTTGATCAAGTAGCTCCTATTATGTTGATCGGGTAATCCTTATAGCATTGATCGAATAACCCTTTTAATGCTGACAAAGTAAAACCTGTAACATTGATCAAGTAACCCCTATAACACTCTAACGAAAGAATCTCATATATGGCGTGGCCAGCTACATATAAGAATTTGTGCAGAATAATAATATTTGTGGTATTTACTTAATTTAATTTATTTTTCGTGACCTCGTAATAGAATTCCTTCGTATCATAGGGAACTTTGGCAAATGGACAAGAGATAGCAGTTAAAAGACTATCAAAGGTATCTAGCCAAGGAGCAGAAGAATTCAAGAATGAGGTTGTACTAATAGCCAATCTTCAACATAGAAATTTGGTTAAGTTATTGGGATTTTGCTTAGCAGGAGAAGAGAAGTCACTCGTGTTTGAATTTGTTCCCAACAAAAGCCTCGACTACTTTCTATTTGGTATGTTCCGTAACAAACTCTAATCTTATAATAGTCCATCGGTCCCCAAATAATTGATACAACGGACTTTTTTCACCATCAGAATATAAAGAATATAAACTTTGATTTTAGTTTTATTTAACACAATAAATTCACCATATTTTTATTATGAAATAGGTTGTTAGATAAGTATTAATATAAAATTTCATAATATACTTTTTTTTACTTGTGAAAATATTTAATATTCATTATAGAAAAATAAGGTTAAACTAGTATATCGGCATGTTTGTAAAATTTGACTGTGTCAATTATTGTGTAACAAAAGGAGTTCAAACTTAATATGCTTTATGTAGTTTGTATCTATGTTCATTACTCCCGTTGTTCCTGGAGATCTAACATGTGTTGACTTTTTTCATAATGTTATATACTAATATGATTATTTATGTATTCGTAAGAATAATAGGAGCTTGAAATTCCAATAACATACCAACAACAACTTAATTATTAATATTTTATTTTGCAAAAATTATACTTCGTAATATATAGCCATTTAATGTATGTAAAAATATGAAATGTAGTAAGTTTATAAAAAGGTACATTTATTTTCACTTTCCGAAATTTGAGTTTTATTCATTTATTTTGGGGTAATTTTAGTTTACTTAGAGCAACTTTACAATGGATGCAATTATAGACCTAACTTTGTCAAAACCTTGTTTTACATAACGTTCCAGCAAGCAAAAAAAAAAAAAAAAAAAAAAAAAGTCAAAGTTTCCATTCGGTAGAAACTCTTATTGGTTAATTAGCATTAACGTGGGCCCAATAGGTCACGGATAACAACCCCAAACTGCACCCCATAAACATCAGAAATGTGGGCATCGACGTTAACTTTGACCTTGTTTATGGAAGGAGGAACCCAGGAAGACGGTGAGTGCAGACCCTGAGCAGAAATACCACCCCTGACCTTCTGGTTGTAGCACAAGTAGTCTGCACTTAATCTAACAAACCCAGCTGCCACAGCAATCGCAGCAAGACCATCAGGCCCCTCAAAGATGTGAGTATTTCGGCAGTACCACGCAGCCCAAGCCAAAGAAGTAAAAACTCTTAATTGCTCACTGTCAACTTGTTTGCTAACCCAAAGCATGTCAGCCAAGGAGGTAAAAGGAGCAGCAGTCAGCAAGTCCCCAAAGTCACTAGTTCCCCAAATCTCAACTGCATATTTACACTCAAAAATTGAGTGTAAGATTGATTCCTCACCATAACCACAAATGGCACAAGGGCTTGTGTTTGTTATATGGAGATTATGCAAAACACCCCTCACACCTAGCTGACCCTTGCACGCCCTCCACAGAAAGTGATTAAGTTTTGGAGGACCTCGCAGGCCCCACACAACTCTCCATATATCCTTGTCACACTCCCATGAACCAATTCCCATGTTCTCACCCTTCCTAATCTCCCCAGCTAATAACCACTTTTCACAGTGTACACCCCACAAGGGATCGGCCACCAATATCTTTCATCTCTAGGCCCAAACATAGATAGAGGAATGTTAATGATTGCATTTCTATCTTCTTCTATGAACGTGGAACTAAGCATTTCCAAATTCCATGTGCCACTGTTAATATCCAGCAAGTCAGCAACTCTCAAATTCGAGTCATAATTTGGCAAGGGGGTGGGCACAAAGTGAGCACTTTGGCCAGGTAACCACGGATCCTCCCAGACTTTGATCTCAGTACCATTCCCAACACGCCATTTTAATCCTTCTAACAGCAAAGACTTGGCTCCCCAAATTGACCTCCAACTATAACTCGGGTCGTAACCCCTAGCAGCCTCAAGGAAGCCCGAATGTTTGTAATATCGAGCCTTTAGGATCCCTTCCAGTAAATAGCTACACCCCATACTTAGCCTCCAAGCTTGCTTGGCCAACATAGCTTGGTTGAAAACTCGTAAATCACGAAATCCCATTCCTCCCATAGACTTAGGAAGACAAAGACCCTCCCAACATTGCCAATGCATTTTGCGCTCCGTTCCTCTCGATCCCCACCAAAACTTAGCTAAGATTGAGTGTATTTCATTAATCCATCAGGGATTCTAAAAATGCCCATCATATAAGTAGGAATAGCTTGAGCAACCGCCTTGATTAGAACTTCTTTCCCCGGTCAAGATAACAACTTCTCCTTCCATCCTTGCAATTTCTTCCATATACGCTCCTTTATGCCTGAAAAAATAGCTTTCTTCAACCTCCCAATAATAGTAGGCAAACCCAAGTACTTCTCATGTCTATCCACCTCTCGCACACCCAAAACCCCAACAATCTCCACCCTTCGATTTGCAGCAACACATTTGCTAAAATCTACCTCTGTCTTGCTTAGATTAACACTTTGACCGGAAGCCCTTTCGTAAATACTGATAATATTAGCAATTTTAGAGCATTCTTGCAATGTAGCTCGAGCAAATAATATACTGTCATCTGCAAAGAAAAGATGAGAGATCCATTTGCAATGAATGTCATAAGAGGTTAATTTATATTTTTTAATGAAATTTTTAATATACTAAGCTAGTCAATGTGGGTATTTAAGGTCAATATATTAAAATGGAAAAATTGGCTGCAACAAAACCAATTATATTGACAAAACAACATAAATGACATTAATAAAATTTAAATTTCTTTCGAGGGTGCACTCAACATCACAAGCTATGCACTTGGGTGCACATAACAACATAAATGACATTAATAAAATTTAAATTTCTTATGAAAGTGAATTCTTAAATAATTTTAATGCTTTTTTGTTTAAATATATTTTTGTTTAATTTCATTTTACTTAACTTTCCATCTCATGTAATTAAGTAACCATTAAATTGAATTATTTCAAAAAGTTTTTGCCATTATTTTCTATCTTTTGTTTCTTCAATAACTCTTTTTTACATCTCATGTGATGATTGACTTTGTTTCTCTTCCATTATAATTAATTTTTTCCCTTTAAATAATTATTCTCTCTCAACCTCCACAATTTAAGTGTTGTACATCAAAAACAAGAAAATCAATTTGGCATATCCTAAAATCAAATTCTAAATTATTTTCTGAATTAAGTATTTAAAATTATTTTGTTGGGTTTGATATTAGAAAGTTACCTATGTATCCTGAAATCTTATAGAATAAAGTCATTCAAATGATTTTTTTTTAATTTATCAATTTAGTATTTAACTAAGTGGAAAGGGAAAGGAAACTAAGTCAACCATGTGAGATCGATATTAGAAAAAGTAATTGGAGAAGCGAGTAATGGAAAATAATAGCAAAATTTTATTTATTTATTTATTTTGAAAGAATCTGCTTTATAAATTGGTGGAGGTTACGAAATGTTTAAATGAAAAAAATAAATAGAAGGTAAGGCTAATTTAGTAACACATGATGGAAAATTATACGAAGTATAAGTTTAAATATTGTTTAAAAAAGATTTTCTTGTGAAAAACTACCTTTTAAACTACAAATTTTGCGAAAAACTACCCTAAATGTTGTAATTAACTACCTTATAAAATATAAATTAATGTAATTGACTACCTTCTACCGGAATGACACATTTGACTTTTATTTCTTGACGTTGACCATGTCACGCGAGGGTCACGTGACCTTTTAATGACTTAATTCCCCTCTTTTCCCCAAAATTTCCCGCTTTACACCAATTCAGCCAATATAATTATCAAAGGGGTTGCAAATAAACAATATAAAATATGAATAATCATATTGTTATGGAAAATAGTTGGTATAAAGCGGAAAATATTGGGAGAAAGGGGGGAATTAAGTCATTAAAGGGTCATGTGACCCTCACATGACATGGTCAACACCGAAAAATAAAAATCAAATGTGTTATTCCGGTGGGAGGTAGTCAATTAAAACATTTTATACTTTATAAGGTAGTTAATTACAACATTTATACTTTATAAGGTAGTTAATTACAACATTTTGTTTTTAGGGTAGTTTCTCGCAAAAGTCAAAGTTTAAAAGGTAGTTTTTCACAAAATATCCTTTAAAAAATTATTATAAAATAAAAAGATTCCACTTTTTCCATGGAACCTTAGTTCATTAATTAGTGTCATTTATGCTAATGTGTGCACCCAATTACATAGTTTGTGTTGTAGACCGCCCCTTAAAAGATTGTGCTGCTACACGCACCTTCATCATAATTGATGTTGTTGCGGCTAATTTTTCTCATTAAATTTAGGGTCACTATGTTCAAAATAACGATGTACTTCAGATTCACAATAAATATTAAAGTTCACACGAGTATTAGATTATCTGAATGAGGTTCATGATCAGGTGTGTACTCTACTAATATCTGATTACTACAGGTGTATGTACCATGTACGTTTGAATTTACAAAAAAATTGAAATAACATATCATAGAAATAATTTAATAATGAACATATAGCTACAATTAAAAGAAATACATATTATTTTCTCTTCAAATGTAATGAACATATACATAGAGTGAAATGAATATACTGTTAAATAATGTTCTTTATCAGAAAACATGGTGTACTTTATATTTGTTTATATTGTACATCTAATTATTAAAACTATGTTCTTTTCATATATTCATATTATATTAGATAATAATCTTTATTAAATATATTAATAAACTATTGTAAATGTCCATGTTCAGTACTTTATTTGTGATATAATGTTCATTGATTATTGTAAAATTTGTCTTAAAATTAAAGTGGGTAAATATAAATAAGGAATGTTCATTACTAATATTATCATATTCTTTATTATTATTATATATGTTCTATAATTTACTAAAAGAACATAAAGGTAGATGTTCTTCTCGAAATAGGTATATACCACTTAGCTTTTTTCAAAAAAAATAAATAAATAAAGCGTTGATGGTACATAAGCCTCTACCGTAAATATTTCAATACTCTGTGGCAAATTGGCAATATTGAAATTGATCGACCTTGCTGATTTTAATTACTCCGTATGTAACATGAAACCTCGTAGATGCACGGAAGCAAGGAGAGTTGAAATGGAGTGCGCGTTACGAAATTATTAAAGGCATTGCTAGGGGATTACTTTACCTTCATCAAGACTCTCAACTAAGGATCATCCATCGCGATCTTAAATCTGGAAATATTTTACTTGATGCAAACATGAACCCAAAGATTGCTGATTTTGGTTTGGCAAGAATCTCCGAGGTTGAACAAAGTGTGAATGCCACTACAAGAATTGTTGGAACATAGTAAGATTTTTATTTTATTTTTATTTTTGTTGAGATAAACTTTTGTTTTTTCATTTACAAAACACTTTTTTCACATATTTTTTGTCAAATTATTAGTTTTCAAATTTGAGTTATTTCATATCGTATCGTATAAGATAAAAAATGGTTAGGAAAAACTATCACAAGAATAAAACGACATTTAATCAATCTTCTAAATTAATAACGATTTTTGGATTATTCTAAAGTAATGAAATGATCTATATGGTAATTTGCTCAAAATAGAATGTGATACGTTAAATAGACACTTGTCATATTGTGATTAATTAGATATAAAAAACATGAATAAATAAAATTATTTAAAGCTATCTCTTTAGTTAAAATACCCACTTCCCCCATTGTACAAACCCCTTCCCCTCCTCTGCTAGTAGATCACCTCTCTCCCTTGTCGGTCATACAGAATCACCCCCTTCCCCACCAGCAATCACCAAACACCCCTTTTCCTTTCCCCCTTACACCATCATTGGCAAGCACCCTCTTTAAAACCCCAAGCACCCTAGCCATCACACCTTCTTAGAAATCATCACACCCATGCCGAAACCTACCCCTAGCCATCAGAGTCCCATGCCCACATCCACCCTGGCCTTAAACTACCCTGAATGTGCAAGAGTGTGGCAGTATAAGGGAAAAGAGAGACTAGGTAGTGGTGGGCAGATAAGAGGGTCGAGAGGGTCGGAGTGGGTTGGAGAAGATGGTCGGGGTTGAGGTCAAGGTAATAGAGTATAAAACATAGTCCTTGGCGTCAATGCATCTACTTTAGCTATTTGAATTGATGAATGGTAGGAAGGGGATATTTTTTGAATAAAGTAAATAAATTCTATTATTAAATTATATATGAAAAAAAATCTAATTGATGTGACATGTGTTCACTTTAAATTGTTAAACAGGTTAACAATTTTTTTATTCTATATTAAGCTAATGTCCCTCAAAGATCATTTTATTTGGTAATAATTGAAAGGTCGTTTTATTTTTAAAGACCGGCTGCCATATGTCGTATTATTCCTAAATTTTTTTCCAAATGGTTACTATTTTCTCCATCCCAAAATAAGTGAACTGTAAAATCTGACACACATGCCAATACTATAATCTCACCATATTAACAACATGTTTCATGATATAATTATTTTTAATATGATATAGAAAATATGATCAAAATTAGTATATGATTTGAAAAGAGTCTATTATTACAAATTTTGTTTGGATTTTTTTGGATCAACTTAAATGACATTAGAATTGATTGGTCTCTACATCTTTGTCAATGGTAGTGTCATGTTTCACAGTATTTCAACCAAATTTAATTAATTAGTCATTGAGATCTTTTTTTTTTTTTTTTTAATTATTATAGAATACCTAGAAATTAAAGTTTCAATTCAACAAAAGAAAATAAAAAATAGTGACCAAAAAAATAACTTTCTATCTCCAAGCAGCCAACTAGCACACTGTTCTATTAAGGACACTTTGAGGGTGGAAATTTGGTTAACCTTCACCTATGCTTAAAGTATCTAGCTCATTAACGTGAGCCGAGTTCACCCATAGAAGAGTCTAAGATGGTAGGGTAGTTCGTCAAACCAAAATCCATGTATGGGTTTGTTTTCGTATTTTGGTTGGTAAAATTTATTATATTAAATATAAGAAAACAATCCTTTTAGAGTTGCAATCTAAGGAAGCAAACCTTTATATACAAGACATAAAATTTACAGTTTTGTGTTGTTTTTGTTCTAATAAACTTTGAGTGAAGTATTTGTTTATAATGCCTTGTAGCGGTTACATGGCTCCAGAATATGCAATGCATGGACAATTTTCTGTAAAATCAGATGTTTATAGTTTTGGCGTGTTGGTTTTGGAGATTGTTTGCGGAAAGAAGATTAGCGCTGGATTCCTGCCGCATAGAGACCTCTTAACTTATGTGAGTATAAGTTTTTGATCTATCATATATATGGTATTTGATTCAGTTTGAAGCTAACTAGGAGATCAAAAATCTAATTTATTCTCTTTTGGCCCGAGGTAGAGCACTCAATGGGCTAGGGTGACAACAATTTTCTCAGGCTTGGAGATGTTTAACCGAGGAAAAACCCTTGGAATTCATGGACCCAACTTTGAAAGATTCGTACTCGAGCGCTGAAGTAATGAAATCCATTCATTTAGGCTTGTGGTGTGCGCAAGAGAACATAGAAGCGAGGCCAACCATGTGCAAAGTTGTCGTCATGCTCAATACTGATTCTGCCATCGACACAATGCCTACACCTCAATGCCCTCGATCATTTTATCAAAGTAGTAATGAATCATCTCTTGTGTCGAGGTTAAGTCAGCCTTCAACGACGACATCAAGCAGCGCTAATGAGCCAACGTCATTTTCTGAAAATCAAGTCACAATTAGTGAGTTACATCCAAGGTAATTGCGTAACTCTATTGTTGAAGTAAATTATTCAAAAAGTTCATTTCCAAGCTAGTTACACTTTTAACTTTTTAGAATCCTAGATGCATAAATAATTTCCTTGTAAATGTATTTTATGTATCGGCCATCCGCATTTAGCAAATATATTCTGGCATGTATTGTGTATTGTCTAATGTTCGTACATTTTAGTTGTAGATGATAGAGTATAAAACACATTCCTGGGCCTCAACCATCAGCTTAATCTTTTGGTTGAGATGGTCCTCTAACATGGTATCAGAGCCAGCGTGACACAAAGGTCACAGGTTCGAATCTCATCCACCCCTCCTTTAAAGTGGAATTAATTCGCACCAGGTATGGGTGGACCTGTGTTGCATCCACATTTGGACCTCAACCATCAGCTTAAGCTTTTGGTTGAGATGGTCCTCTAACAATAGACAATATTTGCTTGTATCTTGTAAGCTTTGTTTTGTAATGAACAAACATTGTGTGTTCTCTGTTAATGGTATAGTATTGATGCCTTTTAGTACAAACATTTAACTTGAAGGCCTGGACTACATGTGCTATAAGCCTATAATACTATAACTTCAGAAAACCGTTAAGTTTAATAACAATCTCTTTAGTGAGTGATAATAAAAGAATGAGAATCAAGTTTACACAACCGGTTTGTCCTTACTTCAATATTCCCTCGGTCGATACTCCCTCCGTGTTTCAATAAGTGTTACAGTTTGACCAAACACGCATGCCGAGATATAATTTTGATCCTTAATATATCTAATCTAAGGGTCTGTTCTCATTAACTGAACTCAGCTAAACTAAACTAAACTGAACTGAAATGAATATTTTATAAGAGAAGAAAATTAGGAACTGAATTGAAATGAACTAAACTGAATTTCAACGTATGAGAACAAGCCTTATTTATATCTTAGTAAAATCATAGGAAAATTTATAATATGAAAGTATATATTATAACGATTCCAACAATGTATTATGCAATAAATTTGTTTTTTATGTGTTAGTAAATTAAGCAAGTCAAAACAATTATGTGAATAGTGAAAAAAGTCAAAATATAACACTTATTAAAACACGGATGGAGTATTGAAATGTATTTAGCTATTTAACCAATAATATGTTGGACATTTGATTCAAAGTAGTGTCAAGTTTAAAGGGTTTTGTTTGGTACTTTATTAAAGTCAAAGGTCAAAAGGGATTAATCAAAATTTGACAAAATTTAATCTTTTTTTTTTTTTTTTTTTTTTTTTTTTTTTTTTTTGTCAACACGCGAACAAGCAATATCTTAAAACAACACTAAGGTCCTCTTTGTTTCCTTGCCTCCTGGGCTAATCCGTGGGCCTTTGAGACAACGGTACAAGGAACCTTACACTAGTACATAATTAACCTAGTGTTACACAAACTGGTAAAAGTGTTATTATAGACAATAGGTAACACTTTATTGGATGATACATCCGCCCATGTTACCAAATGTCTTATGTAACACTTTGGGTAACATTAGGTAACACTTTTAAAAGTGTTATTATAAACCCTTTTATGTATCACTTTTAAAATTATTAGTATCATTTCTAAAGTGTTACTATTTATTTTTTATGTAACACTTACTTATCTTTAGTAACATTTTTCAATCATATAGTATCACTTTATCCGACATTATGTATCACTTTTTCGAACTAATGTAACACTTTGTTGATTATTAGGTAACATTTTTCAATCATGTTTTGACATATAGTAGCACTTTATTTGACATTATGTATCACTTTTTACAAAGTATTGTAACATTTTATAAATTAATAGGTAACATTTATTATTATTATTATTATTATTATTATTATTTATTATTATTATTATTATTATTATTATTAATATTTACTATATTTTTTTAAAAAAAATATAAGAAAACATAAATTATATGTACAACAACTATATGAATAAGTAATCAACACATAATAGAAAACTATTTGAATTGAAATAACTTCATATTTCTCACAAAAAAAAAATCCATAAACACCAATTTAAATGTTTGGCCAAACAATATAATACTCCAAACACAAAGAATATTAAGTTCGATCTCTAGCTTGGAAAAAGTAAGGAAAAAAAAAAACTTCCAAATTTCAAAAAAGACAACGATAACAATAAAAAAACATTAATAATAACAACGTATAGCAGTAGCTACACAGCTAGCTAGCAGAACGACAAATGTCATCAGCAGTCTTCAGCAGCAACTAGCAGTAGACTGTAGTGGAAGCTTCCAGCAATAGCAGACATGAATTGGCAGCAACCAGCAGTAGTAGACATGAGTTGGCAACCGAATGAGCAAGATTCAGCAGCAAAACAACAGCAAAACAGCTGAAAACAGCAGCAAAAAAGAAATAGAGACAGCAGTAGCAGCAAAATAGCTCAAAGCAGCAGTAAAACAGCTCGAAACAGCAGCAAAACAGCGCGAAACAGCAGCCAAACAGCTCAAAACAGCAGCAAAACAGCTGAAAACAGCAGCAGAGACAGCAATAGCAGCAAAAGAGCAACAAAATAGCCCGAAACAGCAGCAAAACAGCTCGAAACAGCAGCGAAACAGCTCAAAACAGCTGCAAAACAGCTAAAAACAGCAGCAAAACAGCAACAGAGACAACAGTAGCAGCAAAATAGCTCGAAACAGCAGCAAAACAGATCAAAACAGCAGCAAAACAGATCAAAACAGCAGCAAAATAGCGGTCGCAGTAGCAAAAAAGCAGTATAAGAAAGTTCTTGTTGATCATCAATTGCTATCCCAATTCTTCATCTTCATCCGTTTGATCCTATGTGTGAAAGCATCATGTATCAAAAAACTGGAACAAAAATTAAATAATTCAATAATAAGACTTTGTGCTATTTAAAAGATTATACATTAACTTACCTCATTTCGTTGTTGCTCATTAGAGTGTACAATGGGAATATGATATGTAAGTTTTGGATTGGATGACACATTTTCAAGTGATCGAGTCAAAGTATCCAACACTTCAGGATCAATTTGCTTGAGCGTCTTCATTAATTATGCTACAGTTTCTTTCACAATTTGGTCTTTATAGGGCTTTAAGAACTCATCGGGAATTATTGGATTGTTGCTCTTTCCCCTTAGTGAACATATCCCTGGTTGCTTTTTTCTATGGCCAAAGTTATTTGGTTTATTCATTACTTCATAGTATGCAACATCTCCATCAATTTCACTTTGAATTTGTACCTCCTCCATCTCGTCCTATAATGGGAATATAAAAATCAAACAACTAACTAATTTGAGACAAATAATCATATTCAAAAAAATATGCAGACAACATGACTTACAATGTTACTTTGGGTGGGCTCATAAGATGTTTTGTATTTCTTGTCTGCTTTCCTTTTACGATTTTCTTTGTACATGAGTGCCAAGGATGGTGGCTTTTTTTCAACATCTAGTTGTTGCTAGAATAAAAAAAAAACACATCCAAATAAGAATTGAATGAATATTGTTTACATGATCCTAGTGAGTAAGATATAGAAGGAAAAATGGTATAAAAATATACCAATTTATGTTGTTTCCTCGCTAAAGTCATAGGACCCATGGTGTGCCTATCTTTTTGATCTATACTTATTTCCCTTTTCTTTTGGCTGTCTTCTTGCATGCATGCATAACACACGGTTCATAGTTTAACATATTTCAATTTGAGAAAGAAATAAACAATTGTAATATAAATGGAAACAAACAACATAACTCTACCTGAACTGGTTCCAAATTCCAAAATTTTAGCAACTCTTTGAAATGTGCTTCTGGAATTGTATTAGGTGGATTTGCCAGCCTATCACCATCATTGTCGTACGGAGTAAAGTGTGTTGCCTTTACACTACATTTATATCTACGCCACAGCCTTCCCACGGATGTCAAAACACAATCTTTACCTTTTTCCGAGATTATGTATTTCTTCTGTATTAAGTAAAATATTAAACAACAAATTAGGAAGCAATAAATTACGTCAGCCACTTGACATATAATAGCACATAAACTAATCAAATCACACCATTTAAAAAAAAGGTGCATATCTTCACGTAACTCCAAATTTGTTCCTTGTCTGGAACATAATGCCAACTAATCTTGTTCAACGATGCTAGAGAAGAATTACGAGCTAAAGTCCCTAAGAATCTTGTAAATGTATTCACAGTCTTATCATCGGGACCAATAGGCTTTCCCATTTCATTAAGAACAATAGGCTTACGCTCCTCTAATGTCCATTCATGGACATCTTTACACATAGTTGGTCCTCTAGTTCGCTTACTTTTTGGAGGTGCTACATGAATATTAACTCGACAAAGTCATTAAAATCATATATTGCTCTTAACATATCTATCTTAAAATATTTAGAATGGAATGATAGTGATCATTACCTATTTGTTCACTTTCTTGCTCTTGATTCATTAGTGGTACATCTTGCATTATTCCTAGCTCCTCAGGGGTAAGAGTACTCAAATCCTCACTAAAAGCATCTTCTTCATCGTCATATTGTTCCAAAATGCGTTCATTTGAACCCATATGATTCTCATAATCTTCCTGTAAGTCATGTCCAAATCTTTGTGGTTGTGAAAAACTTTGTGCTTGTGAACTCCCTGAATGCCAATCTGAACTAGCCATGTTAACAGGCTTTGAAATAGTCATTTTAACAGGTCGTAGTTGTCGTGGTAGTAATAAATCACTTTGTTTTGCTCTCCTCTCTTTTTCACGTAACTGTGTTTGCATTTGCCTATAAGCACTGAGTGAACCAGGGGCAACCACTGTCTTACTCTGCCCTGTCTTAGTTTGGATACCATTCCCAATCCCAACCTCTTTCTCTTGCTGATTATGGATTCCTGATTTTTTATGTGCAGTAGACTTGCCCAATTGGATTTTTCTTTGTGTTGAATCTCTCCCTTGTAATCCTTGATCTGGGTGTTGTCTCTCGGTGTCTTGAAGATGTATCTTAATTTGATTAGCCATTGGTACTGAAGAGACACATGACGTGTCCTTAGTGTTTGTGGTTATCTTCCCTCTCAATGCCACAACCTGAAATTAAGTATTCACGAGAATCATTAAACAAGTATTACATGATTTTTGAACAGTTATGATTCACAAAATTAAGTTTTCAAAAAAAAATTTACCACCTTCTTTGAACGAGATCTCAAGTTTAAAGCATTTTTCCTTATCTCATTTTCATCCTCTTCACTTGAGTGGTTCAGTTCACCCTCTTCATCAGTTGTATACTCGTCAGTATCTTGTGTCACCTTCTTCCTTTTTTTCGTTTGATTCGATCCCTTCATCGACTGTTTCATTTCATAAGCCATGGATGTAATCCCTAAATCCTTCACCCTGATTCTATTTTATTCTATAGTTTTTTGTCTAAGTTTCTCATATTCTTCCATCTAAATATTTCTTCCTACAAAGAACACACAAGGCAGTCAGTTTAGAAGTGTGTACAATGTCTACAACAGATATCTATCCACACAGTAGTTTAGAACAATTTTTTTACTTCATAATTCATCTTAGTTTGAAACTCCACCAGAAAAATACAACAGTCAGCACAAGTGACACAAACTTTAGAAATCCGCTGCTAGTCAATTATAAGTTTATAATGAAAACTTTAAAGCTGATGAAAGAGGCTTACATATTTGCATTTGGTCACTAAAACTCAGTTTTATTTACATACTAACCTGATAGTCTGATAAGTAATCCAAAAACTAACTAAAGAATGTAAACTGCCTTTCTTGATGCAGGTCAGATTAAATGGTTAATATTCACATGTATTTCCTAAGCTTAACTCTATAAGTAATGTAGTAGATTTATTAGTAAGTATCCAGAAAATTGAGTGACTTTTATGGAGAGTAGTAGCTTCAAGCTGCTTGGAGAGATTAATAGCCTAAATCTATTGTTATCGTTATCATCTTAATCAATCAATCGATCATTCAAGCTTTCCCCCAATTAAACATCAAGATGACAGTTAGAATTTATACATAGATTGTTAAACTAGGCTTTCGACACACCATAAATCACCAACTTTGAGCATGTGTTTTATACTTAAATTGCTAAGTAAGAATTTATATGACCTGTCTAGTGTCCACTAATGTTAATAAGCATTACCTTGGTCTCTGAAATAATTTTGATTCTCTCACCAGAAATTGTGAGGAGATTTGCTAAGTTAAAAGAATATAAGGAGGGAAACATTGAAGCAGAAAATGTAGCTTTTGATAGATACATGCAGAATATCAGTTTACTAAAAGAGGTGTTCAATGTTAATTCCGAGAGGCCTGTTAGAATTGAGGCGTTCAGGGAGAGGATCACAAAAGTAGCTAAAAATTCAACCGAAACTGCACACGTACACCACACCCAAAAAAAGGCAACACAGCAGCCAGATCACAATTCCTCTACAATAAATTGTTGCACCAAGATATAAGCATATACAACACTATTTCAACACAAGTCAGATCACAATTTCATAAAAACACTCTCATTTATAATGACAGATTAAATATACAGCACAAGTCAAGAGATCAAAATTACTCCCCACGCAAGACTCATACAACAAGCAGTTGCATCAGGTTCATTAAAATGTAAGGGACTAATCACAACTCTAATCATCAATTCTCATGCTCATAATCAATTCATATATTTAAAATTAGCTCTGAATTTCAGTTCTGAAATTCAACACTGAACTCAGTTCTGAATTTCAGTTCTGAATTCAGTTCTGGATTTCAATTCTGAATTCAGTTCTGGATTTCAGTTCTGAATTCAGCTCTGAATTTCAGTTATGAAATTCAGCACTGAATTCAGTTCTGAATTTCAGTTCTGAATTCAGCTCTGGATTTCAATTCTGAAATTATGCACTGAATTCAGTTCTGAATTTCAGTTCTGAATTCAGTTATGGATTCAGCTCTGGATTTTAGTTCTGAAATTCAACACTGAATTCAGTTCTGAATTTCAGCACTGAATTCAGTTCTGAATTCTGTTCTGGATTTCAGCACTGAATTCAGTTCTGAATTTCAGCACTGAATTCAGTTCTGAATTCTGTTCTGGATTTCAGCACTGAATTCAGTTTTGGATTTCAGTTCTGAATTCAGCTCTGGATTTCAGTTCTGAATTCAGCTCTGGATTTAAGTTCTGAATTCAGCGCTGGATTTCAGTATACTCAAAGGTACCAAAATTCCCACGTATGATGGTGCAAGTTGGCTGCAGCAAAGTTTAATTAAGACACTAAGGTCCGTCATTGCAAAATTAAGAATCATAATCAGAGCATACATACAATTCATGAAGCTCTTTGCTCAAAATGAATACATAATAGCACATAAACATAACCTGAAAAAAACAGTTGAGCACAGAAAAAGCACAGAAAGAGCATGCATATCATCTGAGCAGAGGAAAAGCACTTAAGCACAGAAAAAGCACCTAAAAGCACCTGAGCACCAGATTGCAGTAAAACTCTGATTAGCTAATAGTCTAAGTTATATATTGATCTTGTTAATACTCAGACTCAGATTGTTAGCAAGATTAATTTACCTCACACGCTAGCTTTATAAATCTTGCAAAAAGTGTGACGCAAAATAATCTTCCTAGAACTAAAGTCTGATCATTTATAATCATGCAGTGCAAAGATTAAAGTTCTTTGAAATTATGTAAATAATAGAAAGTACCTTAGTGAAGCCCACACGACTAACCTGCTGCCCGAGCACCAAATGTAAATACTGTCACTATAGTATTAAACTGCCAAATGTAAATACTGTCACTATAAACTGCCAAATGTAAATACTGTCACTATAGTATCAAACCTAAAATAAATTTAATAATTTATATAAAGGTTAGAGTAAATTCTATAGCACAACACTAAATTTAACAACTTATAAATTTCATAAGAAAACAAGTTCAAACAGAAAAATAGAACACTTCAATAATAGTTTGTCAAATCTAAATAATAAGTTCAAACGAAGGATAATTATTATAAAAAAATTAATCTAAACATGTCACTTTGATCGTTCCATCCATGAAAGGAATGGTCTCCTTCGAACACGTGTACTATTTCGTTAGTGGGTTCAGAATTATTAGATAGCTAATATATTCAGTGAGGTCAAGTGATCGGAATGCCTGGGTGGAGGCCGCTTTCGATCAGTAATATTAATGAATAATTAATATTACAACTTAATCTTGACTGAACCCTTCGGGTCACACCCAAGCATTCAACAAACCGAACCGACGAATTAATTCGGAAGGAATTAATGAGTCGACCGAGTAATATTTATTTAGACGTCGGAAATTCGAGCTTAGAGCGTCGAAACCGAGCGTCGGAAGTCGAGTCGAAAAATAGTGAAAGACGAGACGAGAAATAGTAATAAATTAACAAAAGACCAAAATACCCCTAGCATCGGAATGCCCAAGCAAACCGAGTGCTAAGGGCATATGGCCTAGCATGCGCATCAAGCCGAGCCTAGGCTGGCTGGTGCGTGCTAGCGCACCCATGCTAGCATCAAAAGGCTAGGCGCTGCCTAGTGTGTGCTAGCATGCTAGGCGCAGCCTTGTGCGCGCAATGGCTAGCAAGCCATGCCGCAACAAGCTGCAGCAGCTAGCACGCTAGGCGCGCTAGCTCGCCACAGCTAGCAGCAGCATGGCTAGGCCATTGCTTGCTGCCTAGCAGCGCTGGCCAAGGCACAAGGCCAGCAGCAGCCCGCACAAGCATGCTGGGCTTGCTGGCCAGCAGCGCCTGGCAGCCCGCATGCGAGTGCTGGGCCTGCTGGGCTTGCTGGGCGTGGCTGCCACGGACAGCAGCACATGGCAGCCCACCTTGGCTGCCTTGGTGCCCAAGGGTGGGTGCCATGTGGCTAGTGGTCCTTGAGTGTGTGTGGAGTGAGGTGGCCGGTTATGGGAGAGGGAGTGGGGAGCAAGTTTGGTCCCCCCCTTCTCTAAGTGGTCCTCACCTAACCACTCACATGAGCTTGCCACTTGTTGATTTATTACTAGCTTGATTATTAATTTTATTTTAGCTTTAAAATAAAATGGAAAAATCATACTATCCCACATTGATGGGAGAGTAAATGATACTCCCATCATTTCCTATAAATACCCAAGTATGGGCATTGGGAATGTTGCTTGAGTAAGAGTTGAAAAAGGCATCACAATTAGTGAAAACCTTTGAACTCAATATAATTACTCGGGTTTTATTGTTCGGGTCTTGCTAACCCCAAGACATTGGACCTAGTCGGTTTTGTTGGTGCGGGTGGACTTCGTTGGAGGTCTCTGTGTGAGCAGGACTTGAAGCTTTCAAGTAAGAGCTCATTTTGGAGCGAAGCACACATCAAAGGTAATTAGCTTATCTTAATCTTGTGATTAATTTAAATATGTTTATGGTTTTATTTATTGTGAGTGCGGTCTTGTTTTTGGGTTTGTTTCCGCGTTGAGTCGGACTCATCAAACCCCAACAGCGGTATCGGAGCCTCGCTCGTTTATTTTTAAAATCATAATATTTTCAAGGTGTTTTTATGGCTTAATTTTTCTGGTTTTAAGTTGCTAATTAGATTAGTAACTCGTTTTTCCAATTTTTACCTCGTATTAGAGCTGTCTTCAACTCCCGAACCCAGATTTCGACCCAAAATTTTGGGTGGAAAAGGCGTTCTTGAAATTGTTTT